CTAAATAAAAGTATATGGCATACAGTGGGGAAGGGAAGCATTCTATCCAGCACCAGGAAATTATCTAACCACTTTACTGAGTGTTAAACCCATTACCCTCCTGTGAGAAAGCCAGTGTCTCTCTATCCAGAGCACACTCCAACTTCTCTGGGTCTACTAAGCAGCTAAGACAGGTCTTGGTTCTAACTTTGCAAATCAATTGGTAATGTAGTCAATTTTGAAATTTCCAATCTATCCAATTATTTAGGCTGTGTTAAGGAAGGTTATTAGAAAAAAGCATCTGAGGGAGTTTTTTTCAACAACTATTCATTGTTGTATTAATTTGCCCACACTAACTCAGGGAAAGTCTGCTTGCCAGGCAAAAGAAGGTGTTCACTATGTCAATCTGGGGAAACAGAGTGGAGAAGAGTTTAGAAGTGATAAGGGAGAGGGTAGAGACTTAATGAACAGAACCTAAAAAGTAACCTGTATTAAAATAATATGGATTGGTGGTAAAATGATTGCCTATCATGTGCAAGACCTTGGGTTAGATCCTCAAATATACACACATACATCTACTTTTGTACCACAAAATTTATTATATCCAACACCAACTCAAAACAACAATTTCTCATTAGGTTCTTCTATTTAAATTTTTTATTTTTAGAAACTAGTATCTTATTTTGTTGTCTATGCTGGTCATGTGTTCAAGTGATCCTCCTGCTTCAGCTTCCTGAGTAACTAGAAATACAACCAAACTTCAAGAATTCTTTTGAAGAAAGGCACACCTTAAATAATGCTATCTTACCTTTCTTCTGAGGGTATGAATCCTAGTGGGAAAAAGGGGTTGACACTATTGATGGCTGCTGATGTTGAGAGGTAACAATCTCTTTACTCTTTTATAAGATTATTCCCATAGGTTCAAATAGGAAAAGGTGATCTCTTTTAACTTTTTTTTTTGTGTTGGGCTTTGTTTCTTGCCTGGAACTTTGTATACTTCTCACATAGCTAGGACCGCAGGTGTTGTTATCAGGCCCAGATGATTGAGATGGGCAGTGGATGGCCTGAAACTGTGATCTTCCCAATCTCAGTCTCTTGAGTAGCTAAGATGACAGGTGTTACCACCACATCTGGTAATTAATTCTTTCTCTTGGTCTGTGTCCCTGCTTGCTAAGTCAAGCATTCTATTGTGTGTGTAGGTATGTCCAGAGGTAAAGATAAAATTAAGGCACTGATGCAGCCCAAATGTGTTTGATGACTTCAGTGTCAGACATTGGTCTCAGAGACAGGCAGGTACTGCTGCTGTGGCCCGGCATAAACTCAGCCTGGCCTGTTCTCTCTTACTCTTGCCAATGTACACTGCTGCCATGGACAGACTCTTTGGGACAATGCCAATAATCCCTGTTTTATGTCCTAATTACACAATCACTTATTCCGTTGGCAACTTGAAAAAAAACAAAAGTTTAAAAGGTAGAATATTTAACTATGATGTACCTTGGAACAAGTAGAAAACACAAAATAACTACCTTAGGCAGCCTTGCAAATAAAGCAGAAAACTTTGAGAAGTCAGCAACATTTCTAGAAAAGAGTCTACCCTCATGCAAGCTACACAAGAAATCAAGACAGCAAAAATCACTACTTTCCTGCTTACATGGCCAAACACCTGCAAGATGATCTATTAAAAAATGACACCCAGGCTTTCTTTGAGAAAAGACAGGCCTTCTCAGCAAAGGCCTTCAATGAGACAAAAAGTTTCTGGGCGAAGAGTGGGGCAGGAAATCTTGGGATTATTAGAAATGTATCTTTCAAATATTCAACACCCAAAAGCTTCAAGCTTTTCTTTAGAGTTAAGAGCTACTCACCACCATGACTAGGCTCATCAATAATTTCCTCCAAGCCACACCAAGTGTTACCTAGTGCGTATACTACTTGTTAGCTGGAAATTCATAGTCACTCTTCCCTACTGATGGGAAACATCTCTTAACTTCTCACCAGGTTCTGTTCTGTAAACTCTAAAGGCCACAACAGACTCAGAGATGTGGACCACTTCAGTGAACACAAGTTATCTTTTACATCATTTTGATGTATTCTAATTGTGCTCTTCTGGGTACTGCACTAGCTCAGAAAATAGACCACTAGTTGATACTTGGACATTTTCATTACAATAAACAGAACTTGTGATGTTCCAATGCCAGTCCCAATGTAGGTAAACACAACTGCTTTATTTATTTTTATGCTGGTACTATTTTTATGCTTGAACTCAGGACCTCATACTTGTACAGTTTGCTTGCCTGGCTGGCACTCTACCACTTAAGCCACACTCTAGTTAAGATTTTTTCCAGTTAACTGGAGATGGAGTCTCACAGACTACTGGCTAGGCTGGCTTTGAACTAAGATACTCTAGGTTTCAGTTTTCTGAGAAGCTAGGATTACAGGCATTGAGCATCATGACTTGTTTTTTCTTGGTCATTTGTGGGGCTTGAACTCAGGGCCTGGAGACTATCCCTGAGCTCTTTTGCTCAAGGCTAGCTCTCTACCACTTTGAGCCATAGCACTACCTCCAATCGTGGTGGTTAATTGGAAATAAGAGTCTCACAGACTTTCCTGACCAGGCAGGCTTTGCACCATGATCCTCAGATCTCAGCCTCCTGAGTAGCTATGATGACAGGCATGAGCCACCAGCAATTGGCTCAAGACCATTTTTAATACTTCGTTCTATTGTAGAAAAATATTAAAGATGCTTGCCCAAATACATATATCAATGTGACACAGTAACAGATAGGAAAATGGGACAAAGGCTAAATTAGAGTAGGTACATTCGGATAACACTAGGAGGAAGGGCCAGGAATTTAGCTCAGTGGCAGGGTAGTGCTTGTCTATCAAGGCGCTGGGTTTGCTGCCCAGTCCTGGTAGTAAGGGGATCAGGCATTAAGCTATGATGACAGAATTTAAAGTCTGTGTTATCAGACCTACACATATTGTTTTCATGAGTGGCTAGAAGGTCTAGCCCCCATCTGCTTCTGTAAATAAAATTTTATTGGAATACAGCCATGCATATTAATTTATAAATTAAATATGGCTGTTTCCACACTATAACAACAGAGTTGAATAGCTTTGACAGAGATGCTATAGCCCACAAAGCCTAAAATATTTACTGTGTTACATTTTGCATAAAAAATATACAGACATCTAGGTTATGAGATATTTTTTCTGCCTAGGATATCAAAGCAAAGTAATTTCCTAGGATAACTATAACTCTTTGTATAGTTCTAAAGTAGAAGATAACTTTCTACTATAAAGAGTTCTTTATACACTCTAATAAAAGAACACCTATATAGCATCATTTGTATTGATAAACAAGTAGGTTTCACAGGGTCAATGGCACAATGATGTCACAGTGAAAGTCAATGAAAAATTCTATGTAAGGCTGATATAATGCAGTTCTGATACCTGGCCTGACTTAACTCATGGATAGTCTCTAAAGATGGTAAATGCCACCCACCTGCACAGGCCTTGCCATCCTCCTTCCCTGGCAGACATGGTTAACAGACCCAGGTGCTTTCTTCTGCTGAGCCTTAAGTGACTTCAGAAGTCCTGCTCTGGAAGACTCAGCTAATTATTAGCATTTGACATGCAAGATTAAACCAATATGCTATCTTGTTGGAAGGTAATTTTACCTGAGCACTATTGACTAGAGGGAGTGAGACTAAAGTAAGACTATCCATCAGTTCCTAAAGCACAGAGGTTCTATTCTGTTCAAGTTCAGAGCAGACCCCTTCAATGGCAGTTAAAGTGGAATGACTGGATTGCCATTCTCTTGTGACAACCAGAACTTGCCAAGGATGGCTTCCTGGAGAAAAGATCTCAGCAGAGAATCTGAGCAAATCTGCAAGAATCTTGAGACTGGCTGGTATAGCCTTAGTAAAATTGCCAGGAATCTCTGCAGACCACTGAGTAGATAAATAGGATCCAGGCACAGAGAAACCACAGGCCTCTTGCCTGGAAATGTTCAAGCCCAAGGCCCCAAAGAAACAAAACTCCCAAATACCATCACCTATACCTACCACCTTATTATACATTTGTCTTGAAAGAACTCTCCAAAAGACAATGGCTCTAAAATAAACATAAACTAAGAAAGATGACTCATAAGAAACTACAATTCAGTTAAATATAGACGAGGATAAAAAACAAACATTGACTATGGATTTAAAGTGACCTTTTTCTATGCCCATTCCTTCATTATGGCTAAACTACTTGGTAATGAATTGATTGTATTTTTAGTGGAACAAATTATTGTTCCCAACTGATCTTTGTACATGGAGACTGAAAAGCATAGAACTGATAAGCAAAATATGCATTTTTGGGGTCTGTGATTTTCTTCTAGAAAATTAGCTACAAATACATGAAAAATAGACACATTTGATAGTGGATATAATACAAGCAACAAATAGAACAGATAAACAGCAGAAAAAAGTTTTTCAACATTTTCCTAAAGAGAAAGATGATCAAATCTTGCTATTTATTTATCCAGCACTAATGCTAAGGGTTCTTAGAGCACTTAAAATCATATGCAGGCACAAGAGAATGTGGAAAATGTAGACTGAATGGCCTTAGAGGAAAAGAGGAATGGGAGAAGAGAAGGAGGAGGAAGAAGAGTAAAGGGTCTTCTTTATTTGGTGTGCTCCTATGTAGAGCAAATTACTAAGACATCCACCAGTTAATCACTGGGTTTGGAACTACACATAATGTCAATCTAGAAAATTCCAGAGGAAAGTAAAGGCTATTCTATATCAGCTCAGGGATGCTTTGTCTCCAAGCCATTATGCAAACGTCTATGTGCCTTGAGGTATATTGGAAGGGAATGTTAAGTAAATGCTGGACCATATCCCTCTCAACAGCCTTTGTAACCATGAAGGCTACACTTCCAAACCACCAGTATGCACAGTATCTTTTCCAAACTCTCATAGGCAATCATACTTTAACTGATTTTTTAATGACAAGGTGTGAAGGTTTGTACTTACGTAATGCGTACAAGGTGAGAATTATTCCAGCCAAGCAAAATCCTTCAAAGAACCTGAGTGTGCTGAACATCGTCACATTCACTGAGAGTGCTACAGTCAGTCCAAAGATCAGAATGAAGATGATGGAAAACAGCAGCACAGGCCGCCGGCCAACCCTGCACACAGAGAGGAAGAAAGTTAGTAACTGAAATTAAACAATGATGATGCTAGATGCTGAAACCCAGTACCCAGCAAGCAGTTAACATATGCTAAGTGAGTATGAGCTACATGTCTTTATACTATCTAGATTTGCTATATTGGATCATGGACTACTTGTGGACTCTCCTTATTCTGGAGCAAAGGGAGCACAGGAGGAAGAGAGAGAGAGAGAGAGAGAGAGAGAGAGAGAGAGAGAGTGTCAGAGAGACAGAAACAGACAGAGAGATAGAGAGAATTGAGATACAATCCTGATTGCTGAGTCTATTTGTGTGTATAAACAGGGATGGTTCAAAGCAAGAGGGACTAAATCAACTACAACTCCCCAAACACAAACCTTGACACACCTGGCATTTAATGTCTTGAGAAACTACTGACCTTTGGAACTGGCCAGAAAGTCAACACAGGCATGGAGAAAAGGCTTTGACTTCCGCTCTGGGTTGTTCACTAAGCTGAGTGCCTGATCTCACACATAGTCTATGGGACTAGGCTGATGGGTTACAATTTGCTTCAGCCACGTGATAGTAACTCTTAAGAATCACACAGTAAGCTGGGCACCAGTGGCTCACACCTGTAATCCTAGCTACTCAAGAGGCTGAGATCTGAGGAATGCAGTTAAAAGCTAGCCATGGCAGGAAAGTCTGTGAATCTCTTATCTCCAATTAACCACCAGAAAACTGGAAGTGGCTCTGTGGCTCAGGTGATAGAGTGTTCACCTCGAGGTGAAGAGCTCAGGGACAGCACTCAGGCCCAGAGTTCAAGCCCCAGGACCAACCAAAAGAAAAATAACACATTAAGCCAAAACAGCCTAAACACTAAATAACTAGTGTGGTCCTGATGTATGCTCAAAGTACAGTCTGAGGGAAAGGACTGAGGACACACTGAATTCATACATGAGGCACAGATAGCTAGCATGGATCAGTGACCACTAGAGGGTGATGTGCTTGGGGTGGGGGTTAGGAAGTTAGCCAGGGATGGTCCTAAGAATGGGAAAAATCACTAGTTTCCACCCCCACCCCACCCCCCATGCTAACCTTCCATCTTGCCCTGGCTTCACTCATTAGAAATAAAATTGCGGCAATAACTCCCCATCAAACACATTAATATTTAACACAACCAGCTTGGGCTAGATGGAAGGATAGCTCACAGAGAAATTAGGGCAGAGTAGATGCCGTTTGCCAGGGGGAAGAATACAATGAAAAAATTTCAGGCCTGGCACCCTAACACTAAGTAGGGGACTTAAATGACTTATACCATGCTAGATATGACTAGACACTAACATCAAGTTAAATGCCCAGAAACTGTAAATCTGGAGAAACAGAAAATAGAACTGCAGTTATGCAGGGCTGGCAGTGAGAATGGAGAGCTGATGTTCATGCGCCCATTTCTAGCACCCTAATAAGGCTGATGGAAATGATTTCAAGTTAGAGTAGGTGGTGGTTGTATAATTATGCATGCACTAATACTCACTGATTGAGCATTTAACAGGTAAATTTAAGGTATGTGAATTATTTCTTAATAAAGCTCTTTAAAAAAAATAACAAAGCATAGCCTTGGTCTTACAAAGGACATGAATGTGATTTTAAAATGTGGAGCAGGAACCACCAGATAGCATTTCCTTCATGCCTTTCTAAGGTTCTAAACATCTCCATTAGTCACTTGGTTTTTGTAAAACAAGACCAAGGCTCTGAACTCAATCCCATGTAAGTCAATCATCTCATCCAAAGAGCTTTAAGCTTACTTCTGTTATATGATGCTGTGGTCTCACTAGGAAAGACCTCAGCAGGTAATTTTTGTCCATTTCCAACTAATTTACAGGAATAAATACAAAATATGACTCAGTTGTTCTCCTCAGATAAAGGAAAGCACACAGAAACCCAATGTCTATTTTTATCTCCCTGAACCTACCTCAGCTGTAAACTGAAGATAAGGTTCTACTTTACAGAATTACTAAGACTGTTTATGAAGTGAGATGACAGACAGATCTAAACACAAAGCTTGGCATAAATAAAGTAGCTAAATTTTTAGCTTGCAAAGCCTTCCTGCATTTCTATATCCTTGACACCTGCCAGACAAGGTTTTTCCCATTCGGATACTTTTTTTGAAAAGACACTATTTTTTATCCTGTGGAAACCATACCAAATAATTCTCTCTAAAAGGGTTGAAGTAACAATTATTATTGGGGTTTGTATGGTTTTGAAGTTGGGGCACTCTAGTTTCAAATCCAAGTTCATACTGCTTAGGATTATGAGATCTTGAGAAGAACCAAACTTATTCCAATGAGATTGTTAAGGCCTGTGGAACCGGTGTGGAAATGTGCAAGTGATTTAGCAGCAACTTAACCCCAATACATGTAAGATGAGCATTCCCCAGAGTGGAATCCCCTTAGAGCAGAGAGACCTCTACCACTTAGGATCTGTGAAAGGCATATAATGGCCCTTGAAAATATCCCATCTGAATCCTTACAACTTGTGAATATTTCACATTTCAGAAAAAAATAGAACCCTGCAAATGTCATTAAAGTTAAATAAAAATAGATTGATTTCACCTGGGTGGGTGAGATGGACCTGACCTACCATCACTGGCTTTGAATACAGAGGATAGGCCACCAGTCAAAGAACATGGTGGCCTCCAGCAGCTAGAGAAGATGAGACACTGTCTCCCAGAGCTTCCAGAAATGAACACTACTCCACTGATACCTGGTTTTAGCCTCGTGAGACCCTTGTAGTGCTTGAGAATTACATAATCATAAGATGATTAATTTGTGTGGTTGAAGCCACTGAGCATGAAGTAATTGGTGACGGCGAGCCCAGGGAACCAATACAGGAGCTTGACAGGAAACAGACATCCCTCTCCATTGAAGTGGCCGGAGGAGACTTTAATACAGGCATTATATACCCAGGAGTGGAGCACTGAGACAGAACTCACAAGGGACAGTGACCCTGCAGTGCCTAATGGCAGGGATTGGAGGGACAGATGGTCATGACCTCAGAAAGAGAAAGAGGCATCTCATGTGGAGGAGCCTGAGAGGAGGGAACTGGTCTTCTGGCCTTGAAGAACCCAATGTCTGATTACTCTCCCCCCTGAGGATCAGTGGCTGATGTTGCCCACTGGCCACCAAGAGCTCAAGGGCCAGGGGTCCTTTGATGCAGATCATTACAAATGCAGGATATTCTACAAAAGAGCAGAAAGGGAGAAGAAGGTAGCAGAGCCCCAGCCTGCACCTCTCCAAGGGGTCGGAACTGACATGCTAACAATGTCTAATATAGATTTCCAGAAAAAATCTGGGTTGAAAAATGGAACTTTTAAAAGAAAGCAGTGTACAATTTAAATGCCTATGCACACTAACTGAAATCTTAGGAAGCTTGCTCTCTGACTGCAGCCAGGAGTCCCAGCTAGGACGCCTGGAGCTTCCTCAAAGGGAAGTGTTTCCTTCTACTCAAGGGTCAAGGCAGGGAGTAAAAATGCAAAACATAACAAAACCAGTGGGGACAGAAATACCAAATTTCCCAAATGAAGTGTCCATTCAAAATGTTCAAAAAGCCACAATCCACACACAGATACTGTCCTAGCTCCTTGGCCACACCCACCCTGACTTCCCCAGCCTTGTCCACCTGCCCTTGGATGTGGACCCTCAGGAAGTTTGGACAGAGAAGAGAGTTCAACATATCAGACAACTGGCTATTTGAGAGCAAGAAATGAACCCTTTAGCCTTCTGTCCTAGGTCAGGTGTGTGATCAGGGAGGCCTTTGGACATAAAGGTACAAGAAGAACCTTGAAGCAGCATAAACTCTTACAGGCTGATTCATTAATAAAAGCCCATGCTCGACAAGAAATGAATACATTTCTTATACAACTGTATACAACTTACTTATACAACTGTAACCCCTCTGACTTCACCCTTACTGAAAAACAAAAGAATGCCTATGCTTATTTTCGTGTTACTAAATGCTCCACCAAGTCTGTGTGTTTCAGGAAGAAGGTGACATGGTTTATGTGCAAAGATATTCCTAATTCATTTCAGTGAAGATTTCTGGGAAGCAGTAGCTTTTAGGTCTTGCTTTGCTCAAAACCTCTGAACCCAAACATCTGGTTAAATAAAAACCAACCCCCTCTCCTCAAAACATGAGCAGGGGCTGGGGGAGAAATCTAAAGGAGTACCCCCAGGGTAGGTCTCCAGAGGCTGCTGACAGCTTTTCTGTCTCTGCCTGCAGGGAACATTTCCATATGAAGCATTTATAAATGATGAGGCAGCAGGTTCTGAGGACACTGGAAACCACAGTGTGTAAGCTAGAAGAGGAACTCCAAAACAAAGCTTTAGGAGGAAATTTCTACAACTTTAATGTGGGACTCAGAACCCTCAGCTATGGTTCCCACCAGCTTGGGTCTTGTCTTAGGCTGGTCCTTAATAAGCAGGGAACATAAGACACACAGCTTGTTATATAGGTTTCTTGGCCTTCATTATGGCAGTCAACCCAAGATGTGCAGACTCACATACACACACAAAAGATCCTTGAAAAGAGTGGAGAGGGGCGCAATCACACCATACTTCTATTCTTGAGCAGCCCCTTACACAGACAGCCTTGAGTAAAAGTGCTGAAGTACACTGGCTGCGAAGCAGACTCTGCAGTGGGTGGCCTGCTATAGCTCCTGGCTCACCAGCTTCAAACTGAGAACTTGAGGCTGATGAAACCCCTGCTCCAGTTGTTCAGTGATGCAACAGGGGTCACAACAGCTCCAACTTCACCAAGGTGCTGTGAGGAACAAGCATTTCAATGCATGGATCTATGTGGCACCATACCTGGCACATGGTAATCACTAAGTATAAGGTGCTAATGACATCACTATCGTTACTATCATTAATAACTCCGTTTCCCACATAATCCCCATCCCATGAACCCATAGCTTCATCCTAAACCACACACTTTGCCCTCTTCACCCACCCAAAACATGTTTCTTCTCACTTCTAATCACCTACGTTCTCCTATCTGCATTGCCTATCCATTAATCCAAATGCCATTATCTTTAACATTATCTTTAAAACATGCATGATGACATCTTTAAGGTGCTACCAGAGCTGTTGTACCCTTTCTGTTCAGGAGGAATGAAGGGTCCCCAGCTCCTCCTACCAGTTTTTATTTTTGTACTTTTGAGATGGGTTTCACTGTGTGGCTTAGACTGTCCTTAACTCTGGGTTCCAGAAATCCTGTACCACAGCTGCCCAGTAGCATGGTCTGCAAGTGTATACCACTACACCTGGCTCTCCCCATTTTTTAAAACAATGCCTCATATATATATATATGAGGCATATATATATATATATATATATATATATATATATATATATATATATATATCCACTTTGTGCCCACCCATACAGCCCTGCACCAAAGTCCTCAAGTACTTCTTAGACTTCAATGGCAGCAGTAGTCAGGGCTTTAGGCCGATAATAGTAGGAATTTAAATTCTCACTTCCAATAGTCTGTTATATGCACTGGCTAATTATTTTTTCCCCTTTTGGTGCCAGCTCTAGGGCTTGAACTCAGGACCTGACTAATGCATTTAACCCTGCACTCTGCAGAGAGTGGCTTCTGCTTTCTGCTCTTGAGTCAGACCATAGTAGAGAAAAGGCCCAGTCATAGTTACTAACGCTGATTACTTCTCTTTAGTCATCAAAGTTGTGTCATGGCTGCCAAAGTTTCATGCAGTGGGCACAAAGGTACTCACCAGTCAGCAATGCATCCAGTTATTAGGTAGCCAAAGATTAATCCAACCAGTAAGGAGAACTTAGCGATATGGACCTTCCAGGCATTATCACACACAAGATCCCACTAGAGAGGGGCAAACAGAAAACAAATCAGAGAGACACATACATAGAGCTAGTCGTACTCAATCACAGGGGCAACATGATAACCCTGCAAGGTCATGGCTCCATCGTAGCTGCGTTGCATCAGTGGTTTTGAAAATCCAATGAGAAATAAAATTTGCCCACAAAATGCAGTGTTTTACTCTAGAATCATTATCTTTAAACAGGCATCTGCAGGATGAAATTCGGGGATGTAGTATTCCTTTCAGTCCCAACTCCTACAGGGAATCAGGAACAAAGGGAATGCCCAGGGAGATGAGCACCCTGACCCTGATGACCAGCAGCCCTCACCCCACAGACCTGAAATGACCAGTCCAGGAGACGGGAAGGCCTTCCCACCATTCTAAACAGGATATTAGAACACCACAACACTGGAGCTGGGTGCTGCTGGTTTATACCTGTAATCCTAGCTACTCAGGAGGCTGAGATCTGAGGATCTCCATTCAAAGCAAGCCTGGGCAGGAAAGTCTCCAATTAACCATCAGAAAATGGGAAGAGACACTGTGGCTCAAAGTGGCAGAGTGCTAGCTTTGAGCCAAAAAGCTCAGGGACAGTGCCCAGGCCCTAAGTTCAAGCCTCACAGCCAACCAAAATAAATACATAAATAACACTGGGGAACAAGAAGTAACGTGCACATTTTCACACCACAATGCTCTCTACACCATAATCTTAAAAACAAAAGCAGGGTTCATAACAAATGCTGAAATTTGAACTTTAACTAAACAATCTTATTTTTTCCTTGTAAATGCTCTTGAATTTCCCGTATTGCATAGTATAATTAACTTGCTACAAGGAGAGAAAGTCAACCAATGTGTAAATACACTATTCAGTCTATTTTGTAAAATTAAGTTTTATTATTTAGTAAGAAAAAAATTGAAAGCTCTCTCATTTTTCTCTTCTCCATTTACAGATGCAGGAGAGAATGGCATGTTTGTTCTTACGCAGTAATATGCGTCCAAGGATGGACACAGCATTGAAGTCCACCCCCAGCTTACCAGAAGGTCAGAAAAAAATAAACAAGAGTCTCCACAGGCTGGTGCTATGACAATGCAGCAACCCATTCTGGGCAGTACAGATGTTCTTGTGATGGGGGTAAGAAGTGTTAATGCCTCAGACTGCTGGGGCACTCCAGGTCAGCGGAGGCCAAGCAGTGGGGTTGCAACTGCAACTGGAGAGGTACCCACAATGCAAGAATTTGGGGATGCTAGAATAAGAGGCATTCTGGAGGCAAACAGAAAAGGTGAAAATGGAAGGTTGGATGGGTAGAAGGCTCTGGCTTCTTAGATGTCAATCTCCTCTACCCTTTGTCTAGCTGGAGACTCAGAGTGTAATGCAAAGGACCCTTGTGAATTCAGGTCCATTTCCAAGCTTCTGAAGAGCCTGGCGGAGTCCTCGAGGTCCAGAGCTTTGGATCCCAGGGCCAGTGGGATTTGTGAGCAAAGGTGCCACCTGCCACATTCTTCTCTCTCCTGCACTTGTGACACTTGCTCACAGAGCCCTGGACAGTCTGATTTTCTTATCTGTGCCGTTTGGTTCCAGATGACTAAGGCATCACCAAGCTCAGGAAGGAAGAAAAGAAGGAGGGATGCAAGCATGAGCTGCACAGGCTGCGGCCAACAAAACACACACAGTTAAGGGCACTGTGGGCTGTGTATTAGCTTGGTAGAGTTCAGACAAAGGTATTCTTTCGAGGCCTAACTTCCTTCTATGACAACTCTTGTGTTCCTCAAAATGCTCCAAAACCACAAGGACCAGAATACCAGCAGTTCCTGAGAATGAATGAGAATTGCAAATTGGGCCCCTTCCCAGATGTGCTGAATAGAAACTGCAGCTCAATACAGAAGTGTGGCTTAACAAGTTGCTCAGTTGATCTGAGCCCACCATGCCTCTGAGACCCTCCAGGTGATCCTGCCCTGTCTTTTCCCTGCCATTGTGAAGACAGTCCTCGAATTTCACCTTCTCAGTCAACTTCTAAGAACAGCAAGGAGCTGCAACACTGCAGGATGCTCGCTCATGACTACTAGCTACTCTAGTATCAAAGCAGGACTGAAAAGCTCCATGACTTAAGTGGGTGCTTGGAGGCAAGAGTGGAAAACCAACAGTCCTAAACTAGGAAAAAAACATACTCTCAATTAAAAATGCCTGTTCCTAAACTCAGAATGCAGGTTTGCCTTAAAATGTGAAGTACGGTATTACCGTGAACTTTGTGGGTCTTCTGTTTGCACAGATACTTGCACATGGGCAACCATTATCTCCCAGGCACCTCCCACCTGCATGGACCTCAGCCTGAACATTCTTGACAAGAGAGGAGCTAGCCTGAGCCCAGTTTCTGCTGGGAGAGCACCCAGCTGCTAGTACTCCCTTTGGTTGCAAGCACTTTCACATCTCCGTATTAATGAGTTTGTTGAAGGCTAGATGATAAAGAGGAGTCCATTAAGATTATATTAAATGGCTAGGAGACAAGATATTTTAATAAAGGCCTTCAAGGGAATGGAGAAAATAGCCACTGCTGTTGTGAACTCTACCTCCTGAATAATAGCTATACCTGGCAGTGGGCAGTCAGGACACAGTTGTTTGACAGTCATCCGATGTGACCTCTATCAATGAGCAGTGCTAGAATGGAAAATGTACATAGTAAAGGAAGACTGAAGCCACTCATGGTAAGGAAAGAAAACCTACACAGAGGTACTGGTTAACACCTTGGACCTCAGCTTCAGAACACCCATCTGGCCTAGGGCAGCCAGGGGTGGAAGGAAGGTCAGGGAGTCAGAGCAAAGCAACCACCTTATGTCTGATCCCTCTCACTAGGACATAAGATGGAGAACATATCTGAGTCAACAAGCAAAGGACTGGAAGGCCCCAGCAGGCTTAGTAAGATAAGAGTTATTCATACCAGGAGATCCACCTAAAACAACACCCTTGCCCTCCTAGGGGCCCAACCCAGAGCCACATTCCATTTGGCTGGTGTGGGAATGCTGAGAGCTAGGAGAATCCACTGAGCTGGCTCCCTTGTTTATCTTCTCCTTCTGGTATTGATGAAAATATATTAGGAACACACAAAACATGTCCAGGCATAGCATTATCTCTTAAAGAATCTGCCTAAAGAATGTCAGAAGTATGAGGAAATTTTGAGATCACCAACCAGGTCTATTTGTCTATATTGCTATAGATAGATATAGCAACTGGCCATTCAAGAAACGGAGTCTGTGTACATGTTTAAAATTTTTAAAAATCTGACAGGAGTAATGTTCCAAAAAGTGGAAGACTGCAACCTCATGCAATGAGCTTTGTCTCCAGCCTTACCATGGTTGTCTCCCTCTTCTCATCTAACCAATCACCAAGCTCAGCAGATTCTACCTGTGTTTTCAAATGTATCCTGACTGTATTGGTATCTGTTCTCCACTGGTGCTACAAGCAGTTAACTTCTAGGAGGTTCCAGCCTTCTTCTGTCTGGTGTGTGTTCTTGTCATATGAGCCTGAAGGCTAAAAATAACACTTCCAGATTCTCTTACAGCTGAGGTTACAAATATGATTGATTTCTTTTTTTCCCCCAGTAGTAGGGTTTGAACTCAGGGCCTCAAGCTTACTAGTCAGGAGCTTTAGACTTGAGTAATGCCCTCAGCCCATTTTTTCTTTAGTTATTTTTTTTCAAATTATGTTAGTTGAGACAGCATTTTCCTCCCCTAAGACTAGCCTCTGACCACAGTACTTCTTTTTTTTTTTAATTTAATTTTATTTTATTTGTGAACATACTGTACAGAGGGGTTACAATTGCATGGGCAGGATAATGCGTACATTTCTTACCAAGCATTGCAGGCTCCT